ACATGGGGTGACCCCCATGTCCCCCTAAATGGGGACTGTTACTGTGTGGGGACATGGGGTGACCCCTGGTCTTCCCCTAAATGGGGGCACTGTCAGTGTACCCCCCAGGTCCCTAAATGGGGGCACCGGCACGGTGTGGGGACACGGGTGACACTACCCAAATGGGACTCATCATGGTGTGTGGGGACACAGGGTCCCCCTCCCCAAATAGGAACTGTCAGGGTGCGTGGGGACCCTGTCACAGTGCCCTCCCCCCCCTCCAAAAAAATGGGGACACCATCACAGCGTACGGGGACACGGGGTGCCCCCTCCCCCTAATAGGGACACCATCACAACCCCCAAATCGGAACCATCGCGGTGTGTGGCAACACAGCTGACACCCCCCACCCCCCAAAAAAAAAATAATAGGGCCACCACCCCATTGCGTGGGGCCTTGGGGTTGCCCCCCCGTGATCCACCCTGGGCGTGGGGCTGCCCCTACCCCACCTACATATGGGGTGGGTGCTGTGTGGATCCTGTGACCCCCAAAATTTTGGTAGCCAGAAAATGTTTCGTGGTCCCGCGGCTGCCGGGAGGAGGTTCGGAACAAAAATAAATGGAGAAGAAGTGGGTGCAAACGGGGATGGGATCCAGGAGAACTTTGCTGTAGTGTGTCATAAAGGTGTGTTTGAAAATATATCAGCAAGGCTGCACCAAAATCCGGGAGATTCGAAGTCAGCTGCAGTTCTTAGAGTTTGTCGGGTCAAAAAAATGTTTGTTTTTTTTTCTTTTTGACTGGTTTATGGATTGGAAGCGTTGTGTTTGCTGCTTTTTGTGGGATTTTAACCTTCTGGCTGGACGTGGTGCTTGTGTCTAAGCTCACAATGGCACCCTGCTGCCTGCTGTGGTTATTCCTTCTTGGTGTGATTTCTCACCCCATCCCCGCACCGAAACACAGGAGGAAATGCTGAATTTGGGGACACGTTGGTGCTGCTGGGGGCCGCAACGAGGCCACGTTGCTTCCTGCCCCCCCGTAGGGCTCATCGAGTGCGTGCAACCCTGGCTGGGGAGCTCTGGTGACCATGGTTGTGTAGCCCTGAAGTTTTACGGTGAGCATTTACCTCTTGGCAAAGCAGGAGGTCACCCCAAAGTCCCTAAAACTGGAATTTTGGGCTCTGCTTTCTGCCTGGCCACATTACCCACCCTAATAATCCACGGGGATCGCTTAAGGGAGGCCATAAACGCTCCCCCCTGGGGCCGAGCTCCCAAGCGCCGCTCTAATGAGCCCGTTCTGAACGCTGCTTAATGAAATCTTGTCCTCGGAGGCTCTTTTATTCCGTGTGATGCTCCGTGCCCCTGTGAACGTGTGGAGTTTGATTTTTGGGAGGCCGCTCGGAAGGGTCAAGAGCTCAACATTCGGCGTGGAGGCGCCGCAGCAGGAAAGAAGGGATGGAAAATAACCACGGAGGACAGGAGTGGGTGGCCAAGCGTGGAAAGGAGGAGCTCAGCGCTCAGGATGGAACAGCAAACCTGCATTTTATGGGGTGCTGAGGGGGCTGGACCCCCCCCTCAGGAATAAAATCATCTAACAATCATCACGTCTGCGCCTTTCCCGCAGGGGCAGCAGCCCGGGGCTTGAATTCGCAAGCAATTAAAAGCCCAGCCTTAGCTTTGGCCCCGGCTTGACACTTGAAAGATGAGCAAGGTGAAGCAATTCCGGCTTTCGGAGCCGTGTTTGACCTTTCAGGTTTCCTTTTCGACTCCGTCTGCTGCGTTGTAAAACAACGCCACGGTTCAGCTCCAACAAGGGTAAAACCCAGCGTAAAGCAGCGAGCTGGGGAGCCCAGCCTTGGGTACGCTGAAAAACAACGAGGCTGAAGGAACAGAATTGCTCCAAATCGCCCCAAATCACGGCGGCAGGGTGCAGAAAGCATCCGCCTCGCTCTTTTCTTTGTTTTTTTGGTTTTTTTCCTCTCCGGTTTTGCAGGTTTGAGCCAGGGGTCCAAGAGCAGAACCTCGGTCGCGTGGAGGAGGCAGCCAACGTCCTGCTAAGGCCCTGGCAGGGGGAAGAGCTGCAGAAAAGTGGCAGGATCTGCCTGGTGGATGGAGGGGGCAGGCTGAGAAACCAGCTCCAGCCCCTGGATGATGCCAGGCACCGCTTGCTCAGGGCTGACAGGGAGGGAAAGGCTGCACGGAGGATAAAATAAACCTCAAGCCTCGCACCGAGCCAGCTCCACGCAGCTCATGCTGTGCATTTGTAGCCCTCCCTCCCCAAAAAAAAAAGGTCTGAATGGGGAGAAATCAGTGTGAGAAAGCACGCCTGAGGAACGTGAAATGGTGACTCCTCGGGGAGCTGTGAGGATTCGAGGTTAAGGATTTCTGTTTATTTTTTAACATTATGAATGAAGAATGCTCAGGTTGCCCAAAGTCGTTCCCTGCTCTGTGGATCCGATGTTCACACCGATGCTCTTACCCTGCAGCGTAAGCTCTCCCACAGTTTGCACCATGAGGAGAGAACCTTGGACTGTTTTTAACTTATTCCAACATTGTTATTGGGGAAAAGTGCCCGTATAACTACATAAATATGGACGGAAGCGCTTATTTTAGCAGAAATGTGCACAAAAACCTCAAGTGGAGCAGTTCCTAAAGGGATCAGAGGCTTCTGAGCGAGCTTCCAGAGGACCCGGTGACCAGCAGAAGTGGGTGACATTTGCAGGGACTTGCTCATCTCCTTTTTATGGAAGGAAGGAAGAAGGAAATAAGGAAGGAAGGAAGATAACCAACATTTTTCCCGTTCATAACCAGGTACGAAAACCTTACAGAGGTCGTTTTGCCAGAGCAGGGCTTGTGCCATCCTATTCTTCGTGGCACGCGGCTCCTGTGCTGGAGCTGCCTGGTGTCTGCCCGGCTCCAGCCGTCCTCTGCCTGCACCCTCCTGCGTGGACTTGCCCGTAGGAGCCTCATTGCCGAAAAACAGCCTAATTACAGCATTTAGCAACCAAGCCCTGCTCCTGCAGCCTCCTCCCTGTGCTTTGTGGCTGCCCCGGGGGCAAAGCCTGAGTCCAGCCCCAAAGCCGCATCCTGTCCACTGCCCAAGGCGGCTCCCCAGCCTCAGTGGTCTCCGAAAAGCTCTTTTAGCCTTTTGCTACGCGAAACATTCAAATTTTGCTGCTTTTTGGGGCCAGAAATAGGCGGAAACTGCATTTTTCGTGAGCGTCAGAGGAGAGGAAAGCCAGTCATAAAACGAGCTGGCTGTCCAGAGCTGCTCTGCTTCGAATTTTCTTCCGAAGGCAAGGATTTAAAACCAGGAGGAGTGCGAACATGCCTTCACCCGACAGCCTGGAGGCTTGGCTTGGTATTTACTTAACGGGGCACGAGGTGATGGGCGTTTAATCCCAAAGTTATGTGAGAAAATCCCGGGAATGGCCCGTTCCCATCAAAGTGACTCAGGGACCAATTTAGCAGAGGGCTGGCGGCGGGGTCGGGCTGCTCGCTGTTCCCAGCTCGCCTTCCAGTTACCCCGCAGCTCGCTGACTCACTTTTGGTGTTCTCTCCGTGACTTTGGGGCTTACGGAGGCGGGGAAATCTGCTCGGGGCGGCTTTGGTGCTGGCCCAGATAATTGCTATTGTTCGCAGAGCGCACGAAACGGGCTCGATGTGGGATTATAAAAAAAGAGAAACCCACCAAAAACCTGCTACTTTCTGGGGTGGGAAGGTTGCTACCAAAAATCCAGTGTTTCACAGAGACCAGTTTGGCCTTAAACGAGTGGCTTTTGGTCACGCTGAGCTGCTTGGCTCGTGCCAAATCCCGTCCCGGTTTTGCCGTGTGCGCGTTCAGGAGTCAGGAAGAAAATCCCTTTTTGTTTCCAGGTAACTGCAGCCGATTCTCTCGAAGGTATTTGGCTGTGTAAGGGGTCAGCACTTCGGTGCGCCCCCAGCAGCTGGTATTTTGGGTTCCAGTGCAGAAATCCAGAAATCCACGGTGCGAACGAGTGCGTGCCCGCTCCCTCCTCTTCCTCACCTTCCCCTCGGCCTCTCCTGAGGCTGCAGCGGGTTGGGGAGGTGAGGATCAGAGAAAAGGCCAGGAGGCGAGGGGTAACATGTCGTGTACATTTCTTTCTGTATAATTATGCTCTGGGCTGCCACGAGCCACGTGGCGGCGTGTCCCGCGGGTGGCTGCGTGCCTGGGCCGCGTGCTGGGAAGGTGAGAAGTTCACCGGGCTCGGTGACATTTGCTGTCACCCCTCGGAGGGTTTGAGTCCTGTGGGGCTGATTTTTAAAGCCGTTCGGAGCCAGGACACGAGCTCTGCCCTGCTGGGGACGGGGCTTTTGGGATAACACGGACCCCAAAGTGAATTAAATCCCAGGACGCTGCGGTGGTTGGCATCACATCGTGGGTTTTTGTTACTTCTGAGTGTTTAATCCTTTAAATCTGAAAGCGAAGGTGTCGAGCACTCACTGTGGGTTTCTTATTTATTTATTTATTTTTTTACATGTGACACTATTGGTGTGTGTAATCCCAAGGTTTTATTTCTGTAGGGGAAAAAAGCCCGGGCTGATTCTCAGAGCCTTAGCGTGAACCTAGCGAGCTGTTCAGCGCTGTGAAAAGAGGTAGGAGGGGAAGGAAGATTTGTCTTCCAGAACACAGCCTCCTCGGCCCTGCAGCCTGACTGCAAACGGGTGCCTTACGGCTCCCTTGGGTGCTGCTGGGGGAAAATCACCCCCCTTTCAGCCTCCTGCTCTCCCCTTTGGAATTCGGTGCCCCCAGTCCACCCACCCTCGATGCCAACAGATATTTGGGGGCCTCCTGCCTCGAAGGAGCTGCCCTGTGTCCCTCCGAAGCTTGTCTTTGTGGTGATGCCCGGGGCAGGCTGACCGTGTTGGGGTGTTGGGGTGTGAAACCTTCACCCCAGGTGAGCTGGGAGCTGTGATACCACAGCTCCTGAGGGTGGGGGGATCAATCATGGGCCTTTCCTCTTCCTCCATCAGCTTTTAGCCAGCAATTTGCCCTTCTTCTATAACACACCGACTCCTGTGAAGGCCAAACAGCACGAAACGCTTTATTACTACAGGTGGTAACTTACTCAGCACCCTACACCTTGCATCCTCCCAAACAGTTCCCTTTTTTCCACGCTTGGATCAAACACCCCGAGTCCTAACCCCTGACCCATCCGAGCTGCCCGGGAGCTTTTTGTAGGGGCCAGAAAGGTGAGATTCCTCTCCGTCAGGAACAAAACACCCGATACCAAGCGCTGACACCGTGCCAGGGCTCTGCCAGATCGCTGCCTCCTCTGCTCCTGCTTCACGTGAGCGGCCGAAATCTGTTCCTCCTGCTCTGATGGATGCTGCGAGCCAACCTGCTGGGAAAACCTCAGCTGGAGGCGTGGAGGGGGTGGTTTCGTTGCCACCTCGGCTCTCCTGCAATTATTTCCTAGCAGAAGCCTGGATTTCAGCTGGAGGGGGGTGGGGGGGAAAAACCCCGGAGAGGAGAATAACCAAGCAACCAAACAACCAGGGGGAGAGGCGCCGAATCCTGGCCCACCCCTGGTTTTTGTCGCCTGGCTTTGTAACGTGGTTAAATAACGCCAAGATGAGCACAATGCAAGCAGAACAAATTAGGCTTCGGCACCAGAATCGTGGGAGGGGAAGGCTCTTACACTGCTCTCGTGCCTCCTCGCCTGAGCAGCATCCTGCCGCGCTGCCTTCCCACCCCGTGCTGCTGGTCCTACAAAAGCCGTTTAATTTCTTTTTAATTTTCTTGTTTAATTTCTTTTTGGGGGTTTGCTAACGGGAGGCGTCGCGTTGCAGGTGGCAGGCTCTGCCAGCTCTTAGGGTTCTCCCTTCTGTGCCCTGTTTATCCAGATAAGGTCTTTTGCTCGGTTTTTGGCCCGTGTGGCTCATCCGAAGTTCATGGGCATCGTAGGAAATGGGATTTTGTAGGACGTTGAAGTGCCAAACCTTTTTTAAAGCCTCTGTTTTCTGCTCCTGGCGGGTTGGGGTCTGTGTGCGAGGGGCTGCGTCTGCTCCGGCCCTAGTGGGGTTGGAAAAACTTCTCTTTCTGCCTCTAATTTAATAGGGGATCACACGGGGCTGTCTGGAAACCAGCCTGCAGGGCAGATCACCAAAAGCTGCTCCCAAAACTTTGCTCTCCTGAGTCTTGATGACTGGATGGGGGCCTTGCCTTGTGCCCTGCTGTCTCTGAGCTCCTGCAGAGGGGCCCCGCTGCCCTGTTGTGCCCGAGCTGCTGGAGCACTGCAGGTGTCTCCTCCTCTGAACCCGCTGGGTTGATGCTCCGCGCCTGATTTTAAGGACCTGAAACCCAAAAGGCAAACTGGAACAGATCTGGGAGAGCTTCTGTCTAGACTAAGGTCAGCTGAGCTTATTACGGCTCTGTTTAAATTACAGGAATATTTTCCAGCCCTCAAAGGAGGAACGTGGAAGCTGCAGTTGGAGACCTCTCCCTGCTCCCTACTCCAGGATGGTCACCTCACGTTGTTTTATTCTCCCCAAAATCACCAGGAGTCCTTCTTTCAGCCCCTCTGACGTGATGCCGTGTCACCGTACCCCCTTTCCTTTTCCTCCCTAAGAAAACCGAAAATTTACTTGCCTAAACAAACCAAAAGTTTCGCTTCTGCTCTGGCTTTGGCTCACCCCCAGCTTCTGCACGCACGGGGCGCTCGCTGGGGACAGAAACAGAAGCAGCAGTTCCCAGAACAAAACAGGTTTGTGTTTTGTGTTTTTCCCTTTTTTTTTTTTTTCCTCCTTTTTGCGTCAACAACCTCTGCGACAATCCAGGCTTTTAAATGGGCTTAAATTGGGTTATTCAGTGCTAATGTTATGCAAGACTCCTGATTAGCGGTGTGTGGAGCCTTGAGTTGCGAGACGACTCGGAGCTGTGATGGAATTAAGGTAACCATGGCAACTATTATCATTAAAATCGGCTCCAGCCCGGGCTGGTGCTGGAGCCCTTGGCCTGGCTGCTGCGTGTGGCACTGCGAGGCCTTTCCCCATGAAGCTGCCAGCTTCCTCACGTGCTTTTTCAGCCTTTCTTCCCCTAAAAGTCCAGTTTTTAAGCACGGAGCTGCCAAGTTTTTGAGCACAGGGCACTCCTCACCCGAGGAGTGGGTCCGGGTGATCACGGCCCGCTCACCCTTAGTGGCTCCTCCAGCTCATGCGCAGTCAGGTCCCCTAATTTGGCTTAATTATACCAGCTGCTGGCTCTGGGAAAAACATTCTCCAATGATTTTTACCTGTTTATTTCAACGTTGTCTTACTCCTGAGCGAGGACTCACCCGCAGATGTCTCTGGATGCGTTCAGCAGTGCTGGTTCATCCTCCCAACCCTCCTTTGCGTGGTCAGCGCTCCTTGCTGCTGAGTCCTCGCTGAATTTTGAGCTGTTCTGCCCTTTTTGGACCAGCTTCTTTGCTGCACTGCCTCGAGCAGCTGGCTTTCAAACGGGTCCTTCATCCTGGAGGAGAGGCAGAGGAGGAGAGGGGGACAAGAGCATTTCTCCTGTGCTGCCACCCTTCGCCATCGTGTCTTGGGATTGGCATCTCGCCTGTCTCTGAGCTTGCCATCAAGTAGGATGAAGGTGTTTGAGGTCTCTGCTGGCCTTCTGCCCCTTATTAATCGGGAATTATTCATGGGGAATGCGAGGAGATGGGATGCTGCCACCTGTGGCTCTTCCTGGTGGGCTCAAGGGCACGGTGAGGACGTGGTAACGGAGCCTCTGTCACTGGGAAATGCTCCACAAAGCTTTTGGTTTGTAAATAGCTTTGGTACGGGTGGTAGCCCCTAATGTTTAACTGAATACGGTCCAAGTTGGTGCAGCAGTAGGAGTAAAAAGAAAAGGAGCAGAAAGGTGAAAATAAATTGAACTTGTTTCAACTTGTTGGGGGGAGCCCTCAACAACTACAAGGATCCTCAGCTGAGAATAGTAAGGAAGGAGAGATGTTCTGCAGGTGGATGTGCAAGGACCCGTTCTCACCCACGTGGCGGAGGAAAATAAACTCTCCTTGTGCAGGACGCAGCCTCCTGTGGATAGGAGGGGACTTTTAAAGGAAGGAGGAGAGGAAGAGAAGCTCCACGTGGTTCTCCAGCTGAGCTTTTTTGTGGTATTAAATCGACCTTGGGCCAGTTGCTCCAGCTACTTGTACCTCCCTCCGATAAATCGGGCAGTGTCGCTTCTCTCCCCTGAGTGGGGACGCCTGCTTCATCGAGTGCTCTGTGCGGTGTCCGTACAGCGCTGCTCGAAGACCCTTTGCAGCTACAAGATGGATGAAATGAGAATTTCCTGGTGCTTTTTTGGGGTGCTTTCCCCCAGCTCTGCCCTCCTGCAGCCCTTCCGTGTCCTGTGGCCGCACCGCTCCACGCTCCCGATTCCTCCCTGCCTGCTGACCCACTGCTTCTCCCAGCCATTCCCCTCCTCCTGCATAAACCCTGCTCCATCGTGGTCTTCAGGACTCATTTTTTGGACATCCACAGAGATCCAGGAGAGGGTGGAAGCATCCCAGGAGGGTAGGAAGGAGCGTGGGGGCGTGCAGAGAGCTCACCAAAAGAGTGGCCGTGCTCCTGGCTGCCTGGTGCTTGTGCTCTTCCAGGAGGCTCCGTGCCCCACGGGATTTCCTGAGCTTTTAGAGGGAAACAGTCAGCAAAATGACCCTTTAGAGGGAAACACTACAGCAAAACGACCCCAAAGGAGTCATCTCATACACATAAAGTGTTCTCAGTCGCCGTGCGTCGCGAGACGGCTGCCACGAGACCTCTCCTCCTGCCTCGCCTTTCTTCCGAGGGGCGTTAGCTGCTGGCACAGCAATCACAAAATGCCAGAGCAGCTGCTTTTCCAGCGTGGAAAGTCTGACCAAGCCGGGTTTTTGGAAGTTGTGTGAGGCAGGACTGGAGCTGTGGCAGCAGCTCGGGCTGATTCATCGAGCGCGCGTGTGATTTTTGGAGGCTCTTCCTTCGGTAACCCAGCGGCAGAACCAAGTAGGTGCACGCAGCCCCGCTGAGCTTCCCGGACACAGCTGGAGCTGCACAAAGCTTTTTTCATACCGCAGGGACCCCGAGCTGCTCTTTTCTCCCGTGTGTTCGTTTGTTCTTTGTTTCCTGCTCTTTGTCCTTGCTTTAAAGGAACAGCAGCCTGCCGATGGTGGCACTGATAAGAGGGTGTTGATAAGGGTGGTACGGAAGGGGAAGGGGCAGCCTCGCGCTAGATTTGTGTGCAACCACAGACCAGCATCGAGCAGAATTTAGGTTCTCCCTCCCCACTTAAAAATTAACCAAGCATCTTTAAGAAATTTATCCTCCAGCTTCATCCAGGAGGTGAAAGGAGCCACGGGCTCTGCCAAGCTTCGTCTTCGAGCTCAGAGGAATTCTGCTCCTTCGCCGGTTTCTCCCCTTGACAGGGCAGGGGGAAGGGTGACCTCGGGCAGAAAGGCAGGGCAGAAATCCGTGCCAGCGAGCCCCGACGAGTGAGTTTGGTTCACCCGTCCCACTTCACCCTTCCCCTTCTGCCCGGAGGTTGGGCAAGGCTGCTGAATCACTTGGCTGATCCCCCGAGGGATCCTGCTCCTGCTCCCACCTTCCTGCACCTCCTCTTTCAGCCCTTTTGGCTCCTCTTGCAAAACAAATTGAGGGCGGCGGGGCTGGGGAGCAGTGCGTGGACCAGCAGGGAGGAGGAGGAGGAGGAGAAGGGTGAGTGGAGGAAGAGCAGAGCAGCCTTTCCCTTCCAGCTCAAGCAGCTCTTCATCCACAGCGCCAATTAACAGCACCCTGAGTCGTTTGCTGCCTCTCTCTGCAGTCTCCCTGCTGACGAGTCGGCGGCTGCCAGGGAATTAAAAACGTTCCCTTCAAGGAGGATGACGGCAGCGGGTGTGGGCAAATTCGTTTTCCAAATTGTCAAGAACGAAGCAGAAGAATCCTCCAGGTGAATGTCAGCCCTGAGATGCTGGGTGTTCCTTCTCACGCGGCCTTCGTTGCTCGCTTCTCGCCTCGGCGGCTCAGCCTTGACTCATTGCTGAGTGTTTTTTTTGTTTTTTTTTTTTTTTTCCCGTACACGCAGAGCTCCCGAGCCGTCAAGCTTCCTCGTCGCTAGTTAGTTTCTGAGAAATTTGGAACGGAGGAACAGAAATGTCACGGAACAGATTTCGGAAACAAATAGAGAGGGGGAGAACAAGCAGCAAACCAGCAGAAGGGCACGTTCCCAGCACGTTATAATACATCAGGTAGAACCCAAATTAGTCACCCTACAGATTCTTGCCCCCCTGTTTGTCTTGAGGCTTTCACCGATCCCATTCCTTCTGTTTTCCTCCAAATAAAACGCATTTAGGTTGGCAAATACCTCCCTGTGCAGAGGAGCACCGTGCTGTAAAAGCTTTCTTCGTGCCGCTGAGGTTTGCGTTGTTTTTCCCCAAAAAGGGGGACGGCGCTTGCAGTAAGCACTTGCGTTGTGTGCAGGTTTAGGTGCCTGAATCTAATATTTGGGTCTTAAAATAACCGAGAGCTGATGGAAAGCAGAGTAGGTGAGCTGAATTTCCCGGGGGCTTTGCCGGGGATGCTGCAGGTGAGGAGGCAGAGCCCTGCGCCCGCCTGGGCAGGGAAGAGGGTGGTGGAGAGACCAGCCTGGTTCCCCCAGCGGGTTGGGGTGGCCTCGGTGACCCTAAATGTGCTCCCCTGGGGTTGTGTGGGGCTGGCTGTGTTTAGATTTGTGTGTTGGGGTCTGGGTTTCCCACAAACACAGACTGGGGAACGGGAGTGTGGCATAACAGGGGGCTTGGAAAGCAGGCCGGCACGCCGTGGCTCTTCCTGCTGAAGGAAGAGGCTTTCCAGATCTCGGTGCCAAATTGCCAGTGCTCTTTTAACCTTGATCACAAATGGCTCTGTTTTAGTTGTCAGAAGTCCCTTTATCCCCGTATCCTTTATCCCCCTCAGCACTTACTCCTTTGGTTTATTTATTGCCTGCCCACAGCCAGGTTTTCAAACCAAAGCTCGCTCCTCGGCGCGTGGTTTTTGGTTTGTGTGTGGTTGGGTTTTGACTTCGCCTCTTGATTTCTGTCCTCTTCATAACCAACGTTAAATAAATCCTTAGGAAGCCAATGAAACATCCTTCAGCATTCTTGTTCTCACCTGGTGAACACGAGGGAAGAGTTTTTCTCTTTCCTGCCCTGGCCAGCCCTCAGCCGTGCCGTGATGGACAAACTGGAGCTCCCCGAGAGCAGAGCAGTTTAAAAGTGCTCCACGCTGGAAATGTCCCCTGGAACCACTTCTCCATCACTCCCCCAGTTCTTCTCCTTAAATTTTATTCCCCTCTAATCACCCCAGGTTTCTGAAGCTCCTCGTTGGATTCGTTTGCAAATACTGGCTGTCCTCCGGGGCTCTCCGAGGTGTGGGTGAGCTGCAGGAGGATAGAGCCACCAGGAGCAGCGATCCCAGCCCGTGGTGCCTTCACCCTTCCGAGGAGGATTTCAGCTGTAAGGACTTTCAGATTCCAGGAGGAATCTGCCCACGTGTCACAGGGGTTTTCACGGGGTGAGAACTTCTCGATGCTTGCAGCAGTTACAGGAAATTTTGCACAGAAATGCGGCTGCCAAAGCCCTTTGCCCAACAGAATCTTCTCAGATTTGCAGAGCGTGGCTAGACAATGATCCTGGTGTTTTGTTACGTTAATTATGAGGCATCTGCCTTCGTATGCAGCCCGAACTGCCTTCAGGGTAATTAAAATTTTATTAAAGAAACGAGGAGGAGTAAAGGGAATGTTTTATTTGGAGCTGGGGCAGCATCGAGTCTTCGGGGTGCCACTGAACACGTGAAGCTGGTTGGCTCTGCGATATCACAGCCTGCACCTCCTGCTTTGCTTCTTTATTTATTTTCATTTAGGGTGTCAAAAGCCTGGGAACGCAGTTACAGCGCAAAGCAGAGGTGTCTGGAGAGAGCCACGTTATGGTTTCCTTTAAAAAAAATCTCGATATCTATATCTCCATCCCTGATCTGGCAGGATTACGGTCCTCAGGGAAGACAAATTGTTTTTTTCCAGAGCTAACAGGAGTGAGGTTGTTGTGGAGTCGTGATGTGGCTCAGGATGCTCGCGGTACTGACAGGCAGGCCCAGCATTTTCTGGCCTTCGGGAAGTTTTTATTAGCTAAAAGAAAAGTGCTCAAGTCCCTTCTGTTTCAGGAAGGAGCTGGTGGTGGGAAGGAGACACAGATTTTGGGAGGCTTTGCCCCCAAAGTGGCCTTTGATAAAACCAAAGAAGTGTGTCTGTGAGCTCTCTTCCAGCAGAGGACATGACTTACGACAGAATTCACCTCTAAATTCTCTGAACTTCTGAACTTCACACCCCAGAGATCTCATCTGAAAACACAACATGGCTTTAGCACTATCAGGTCCCGGCAGAACAAGGCCGTGTCCTACATTTCGGTCCCTCTGAGCCCGGAGATTTCCTTTCGTGGTTCACTCTCCCAGCTGATAACTTGGCGAAGTGCTGCCCTTTGCGTTCCTGAGATGTTGGTCTGACAAACTCGAGGAGAAAATGGAGAAGAAGACTTCCAGCTCTCATTTTAGCTGATTTTTGTGCTTGTTTAGAGAAAACACATCTTCCCTGTAAAAATATGAGCTTCGCAGTACTTGCACGCTTAGATAATAACAAGCCTTAAAAAAAACATAAAGCCTTTTGACCAAATTCCTCCTTCAGATGTCCCTGCAAATGCTTTCACAGTCTTTACTGAAAAGCTGAGTCAGAAATGGAAGATTTGGCCCCAAACCGTGGCCCAGTGTTGCCAGTTCTGGACCAACTCAAGCGGAGTCAACCATTTACAGCGGCGACAGCTCGTCGTATTCCTTGCCATGAAGAACGGAGCACAACATCTCGTTGCTTGGCTTTCCAACCTCTATTTACACCCGTTTTTATGCTCTTTTGCCAGTTTTTCTGTTAGAAATACACTAAAAGCATGAAGCCGTGACCCAACGCATCCTTCAGCCACGTGCGCAAGAAGTCAACATGGAGAGATGCGAACGTGGGGAGGCCAGGAGGGGCTTTGGGCTTCGTTTTGGTGCATTTCTGCCTGCCCTCGAAGCCTTCCTGATGTGTGTCCTGTCCCACAAGCTTTCATTTCTCTTCCCTCTCCCAGAACCTCTTTGCTTTAGCGTGAGGTCCGCGTGCTGGAGCGGAGGGCACACGGAGGTGGGCGGAAATTTGCTGGTCTTTAACTGCAGTTCTTCAGCTACAGAATTATTCTTCATAGGAGCTGCTCTAGGAGATTTAGCTCTACAATTTCAGTGATTGTATTGTGAGCCTTGAAAGGATGTTGCTGGGAGGCTTCAAGCTTTTTTTTTTCTAAGAAGCGTCAGAAAATTACTGAGAGCATCTTCTGCTGCGCCTCTGCTTAGCTCTGAGAAGTAAGTGGAAGCAGTGCTTGAGCTCTTCCTTTGTACTCCCATAAAAGCAGAGGGTGTGAGAGACCTTTATTTAAGGATTCCGTGGTTTAATTACACTCGTGTTTTTTGGAGTTCAGAACCAGAATAGGTTTCTTTCTGAGACGGGCCCTCCTGCTTCTTCAGGCAGAGAGAGTTTGGGTTTCTGGGAGGTGGTGGTGGGCAGCTACTGCTGGAAAAGCCTCAAAAAGAGCTTCAGTTTTCACGGGTTAGGACGTTTTGCTGAGATGTGCGTTGCTTTTTGTGGTCAAATCTCACCTTCTGTCATCTTTGCCTGCAAAGCCAACCTGCAGGAGGCGGCGGCCGCAGCAGTGGAAGGAGGGTTTTCTCAGTCAGCAGGCACATTTCGATAAATCTTGGCCTTTAAAAAACACATTTTGCAGAGAGTATCGGAATATATAGCCGTGAGAACATAGCGAACCTTATTTTTGTCTGCGTTAATAACCGCTGCGTGTAGCAGGAAGCCAAAATCATAATTTTATCTTTCCCTTTTGCCCACTGAAGCTGTCAGACTCCACTCGCTAAAAGCATCCGTGCTTCTGGGGTAACTGCTGGTTGCAGCCCTGCTGCCTGGAGGTGTTCCTTACTTGTTTTAAGCTCGTTTTTTTGCAGACCTTGGCTGCTCAGGGCCCATGCTGGCAGGTTCCTGAGGATTCGAGGCGTGTGTTTGCTGCAGCACATCACCAGAACCAGCCTGAGGGAGAGCCTCGGGGCTCTCCTCTCGCTGCAGACCACCAGAAGGATTTCTGACGCTCATCCCCTTGAGCAACGGAGCGAAAATCTGAAGCTCTGTAGTCCGGTGAGCTTGAGGGATTTGGTCTTTGTGGGGTTATTGATCCTTCTACCCGCAGTTTGCATTGCTCGTGGTGGTGTCAGGCAGTTTGTCCGTCCTCGTGGATGCCCAGGACCTTCCAGCACGATTATCCTCTGCTCCTGCATCACTGGAAGTTGTGGGATCCATTGGATTCCTCCAGAAACCGGCCTCTCGTGCCCGGCAGCTGATGGAGAGCTTCCAGGCTGCTTTCCCTGCTGCACCTCCCTGTTCTTTTTGTTGCATCGGGAAGAAAACCAATAAATTCAGTCTGTTCCACCCGCGTTTCCTCAGCATAGCCAGGAGCCAGCTGCTCCTAACTTGCAGGAGCGGATATAAATCACTTCTGTGGGCACTGAAACGGGTGGAGAATAACAACCAGAAGCGTGCAACCAGGTGAGAACCAGGCTGAGTGCCAGGCGTGGTGCAGACCCCTCAGCATGAGACCCCCCGAGCACAGGACACGCTCTTCCTCGGACCCCTTGGCCACTGGGGTTAAACCCCAGACACCCCAAGAGCTTTCCTCTCTGGTTCCTTTTTGGCATCGGAGGTACCAGCCTGGCAGGCTGCTGGCGAAAGGAAAAGCGACAGCAAATCATTTGGTGGCTGCGTTTTTCGTACCCAGGAATGAAAAAACCGCCCTCCTTTTCATTTCCTCCCCCCCCCCAGATAACTGGAGGTGCAAAGCTGGGTTTGCTTTGGCTCCCCTTCCTTATCCAAAAATTGTTTTATTTATTTTTTTCATGGGTTGTTCAAAATGCGATCGGTGCTTTTCCATTTCACGAGGATCTCTCGAAGCAGGTGCCTCAGGGAGCAATGGGTCCCCAGGTGGTGTTTAGCTCCTGGGGTGAGTTTCTCAACAGCTTTGGGCTCCCCGGGGGGATTTCTTCCCAGCTCCTGCACGAAGGCAGAAGACTTTTCCTTCCCATCGTGGTGTGGATTCAGCGCAGCCCCTCCTGGAGCCTCCCATGGCCTGGTGTGAGCAGTGCCTTGTGGATTCCCGTGCCTTGACAGTGAAAATTGCCTTCTCCTATGAAGGAGTTTAATATTTTTTAAAGCATTTGTCTTTTTTTTTGTGTGGTATTGGAGTCTTGAAACGGATAATGGAGCTGAAAGTAGCACAGTGAGATGGTTATCTGCAAACATAAGAGCAGAGCACGAAAACAAACTTCTCCACGAGCACTGCGCTGAATTGCTCGGATTTGGTAAACTGCACATTGCTAAAAAACAGCACTTTGGCCAGGAAACCAGCCCGAAAGCTGCACCAGAGCTTCTCTGCAGCCACCAGTTGGGTTTCAGAGTCTGCTGGCTTGGGTTTTCTAACGCTGGAATAGAAAAAAAAAAACACATTTTAGTGTTTTAGTGTTCAGTTGTCGTGGAGTGTTTGAAAACTGGTGGAGAAGGGCAGGAGACCGCTTTTGGCATTTATCTTAATTCTTATTTCTGTGAAATCTCTCAAAAAAAGACAACGGTGCTCCCATGAAGATGGGACTTGAGAGACCGGGAAGGAGCATTCGGGTTAAGGAGTGATTTTGTCTAACTCTCTAAATCACTCTCTAAGGAGTGATTTTGGTTTTGAGCTGCTTTATTTCCTTGTAGCAGGTTGGGTTTGAATGGTACACGTACAACTCCTGTGCCAAAACCTGACATTTGTGTCTGTTCACGTCGCAACGAGCGGCGTTGTCCGACCAACGTTCCTTTTATCTGCATTTAAGGGCACTGCCTCCTGTCCTGGGGCTGTTTCGGGGTCTTGGTGTGGCCCCAAAATAAGTCGGGGGCAGCGTCTGGGGGAGCTCTTGCTGCTCCGAGGGAAATGTTGGGCTTTTTTTTTTTTTTTTTTCCCTTTTTCCTGTTGGCTTCAGCTTCTCGGTGGCTTTAATCTAACAACCCTAAACATCCAGAAAAAAAAAAACTTTGGAGGAAATTCTTCACTTTAAGGGTGGTGAGGCCCTGGCACAGGCTGCCCAGAGGAGCTGGGGGTGCCCAAGGCCAGGCTGGACGGGGTTTTGGGCAACCTGGTCTGCTTGGAGGTGTCCCTGGCAGGGGTTTTTGGAACTGGATGAGCTTTGAGA